TTTTTTGATGTTGTGGTTGATAACAACTCCTGCATACCCTTTAATAAGACTGCTAAATTGTTTGCTTTTTTGCCCCATTTAATTTTTTTAGTCTATACTATAAAGTTTTATATGATCCAATTGAAAATATGGTATTTCCTTTTCCCTTTACCCTAACTACACTGGTATGTAGTTATCAAGCGCAATATCATCCTCTTATTTATGATAGTATGTAGCTATCTAATACCTACTATATAGTGCAGTTATCAAGTTAGGAAATGGAGCCTGAGATCTCTACTATCTGATTCAAGTTCAAATCCAGATGGTGGCATTTTTCCAACTATGTACTTGATCAAAACTTGTTTTTCTCCTGTTCTAGACTCCATCTAGGGTCTCCCATTACACTTGGTTGCAGTGTTCCCTAGTTCTTTGCTGTTTGTTTTGCTTGACCATGACATTTTCAAGGAGCACAGGCCAATAATGACTATAAACTAAAGTTTGTCGGGTGATTCTTTTGATTATATTGGTGTTAACGCATCTGTGGCAAGAACATTCACAAAATGAGGTTGGAGCCTTTTAATGTATCATATCAGGAAGGACATAATGTCTGTTTATTTCAACACAGGTGATTTTGATCCCTTATTTAAGATGAAGTGTAGCAGATCTTTCTTCTATAAAATTTCTTCCTGTTGTTATTAATTTGTGGACAGATGCCTTGAGACTATATAAATATCTGTACAAACATGTATATGTATGTGTATTTTTACCAGACACTAGCTTTTATTTTTTAAAGATTTATTACTTATGCATATAAGAACTGGGGGACAGGCCAGAGGTATAGGGGGTGAGAGGACTCACCAGAGACAGAGTGGGTGCAGAATAGGCAGGTCCACTGAAATCCACTGCTGAAGGGGGCAACGGGTGAGACAGGAGAGGTCTGTAATGCCCTGTGGGTCCCTCCCTGACCGGGGATTGAACTCGTGCTGCAGCGGCTGCAGATAGCTTCATTGTCTGTGTGTTAGCCCTTGTGCCACCAGGGAGGCTCCAGGGAGGCTACCAATACCCATTGGAAGTTTCTAATTGCATCAAACCTCCTTATGTATTTGTGAACAATCTATATAGTAAGGGAGGTCTTTCTCCCCAATAAGTATGTATTTAAGTCTTTGGTATCTATAAGAAGCTAACCTTCACACACACACACACACACATACACACAAATGAGTCATATAAGTTTAAAAAAGTTTTGGTCAAGTATAAGATAGTTCTTACAGTCTCTGTAAGAAGTCTTTCATTCTTAAAGTTGGTTATTTGTGTTTCTCTCCTTTTCAAAAGAGAATTTTCCCAGGATTTGTTAATTTTTACAGAAATACGTTTGGTTTTACTTTTTTTTTTTTCCTTGATTTCTCCTTACTGTTCTGTTGATGTCTACTCTCCAGTGTGCTTCCAGTGAGCCATAGCACTGGTGATGTCCTGCTCTTGCTTGCTCTTGGTTCATTTAGAATCAGGCAGCTTCCAGGAGTGGCAGCTGTGCCTGAATGTCCAGTGGTGACACCATTAATAGGAACAGTTTACCATGTTGACTTACATATAGCGATGGTTTGTATGACCTGTGTTCATGGGGGCAAACCTTTCAGGAAAACCGATTTTGAATTCCATAGCGGCTAGAGCAGTTTCTCGCTCCACCAGCAGAGCACATGGGCTCTCTATCCTCCCTGTCCTCACCAACACTTTTTATTTTTTGTCTTTTTCATAATAAACATTCTGACAGGTGTGGGATGATATCATATGGTTTTGAGTTGCATTTGCCTCATCACTAGTGTTAGTGAACACTTTTCATGTACTTGGTAATCATTCGTGTATCTTTATTCAAAACTTTAGCCCATCTTTTAATTGGGTATTTGATTTTTTGCTCTTTTTCTTTCCCATTCTGCTTGTTGATTTGTATGAGTTTCTTGTCTAGTTTTGATTAAAACCCCTAATTGGATACGTGGCTTGCGAATATAGCCTTCCATTCTGTTGGTTCCCTTTTCATTGTTTTCATTTTGTTGAGGATTTCCTTGACTGCAGAAGCGTTTCAGTTTGAAATAGTCCATCTTGTCTACTTTTGGTTTTTCTGCTTTTGCTTTTGGTGTAAAATAAAAAACAACCATTGCGAAGTGCAATATAATGAAATGTGTTACCTTTTTTCTTTTCTTTGAGGAGTTTTAGAATTCCAGGTCTTATGTTCAAATCTTTAATCCATTTTGAGTTGTGTACAGGATAAGAGAAAAAATCCGTCTTTTACATGTGCACATCCAGTTTCCGAATATCAGAAAAGTGCTTTTTGAAGACCCTGAGATTTTTTTCCTTTCAGCTCTTGAGTGCCATCACCTTGTCTTTTGACCTTCAAGTCTTATAAGAGGTCATCATTGTCCATGGTGCTGTGACCCTTTCTGCCCCATGCCTCTTTTTCCTCTTGATTTTCAGATGTTTTGTTTCTCATTGATTTTCAGAGATTGACTTCATTGTATCTAGGAGTGATTTTCTGTGCATGTGTGTTGTGTGGTGATTGCTGGACTCTTGGTTATTTAGAACAACAGCAATAGATTTGGGGAAACTTTATCTACTTCTTTTCAAATGTCATTTTCTGCTTCTTTCTCTCTTCTTCTGAGAATCATTTTTATCAGTGTTTGACATTTTACAGGCTGCAGTTCTTTTTCCATTTCCTGTTCTTTATTTTGATCACTTTCATTTGGTCTGTGTCCACTTTCCTATTCAGCTGTCTTCTCCGTGTTGTTTGATCCAGTCAGTGCATTTTTCATTTCAGATATTGTACCTTTTAGTGCTAGAATTTCCCTTCTATTTCCATTTTTAACTTAAGTTCTACTGTTTAGAATAACCATATATTTGTTCATTATGAATAGCCTAATAGCTTGTTATTGAATCTTTTAATTTCTTGTTTGTTAATTCTGGACTGGATTATCTTGGTGTATCTTTCTGTTGTGTGCTTTTCTTCTGTGATGAGGGGTTATATGCTTTTCACATGTTTTCTTTATGGGTGTTATCATTTTTATTGTGTTCCAGGTAAAGGGAAAATACATTTGAGAGACTTTGGATTCTCTTGTCATCTTCTGAAGAGTGTTAACGTTCTCTTTTAAACAGTTATTAATTTGACTGAATTCACAGATGGTGGGACAACTAAGTCCCTAATTGCTCTCCAGCTCAACTGTTCTTTTAGAGAAGAATGTTTTCCCCTCTGCAGATATTAAATTGGAGTCCAGTATTGCAGTACTTTTGAAGTCCCCATCCCACTGCTTGCTGTGTTAGTTTGCTTGGACTACAATAACAAAGTGTGTTAGTTAGGGTGAACAAGGCAACAGAACTTTGTTTTCTTATGATCCTAAGTTCAAGATCAAGGTATGAGTCTCTTCTGAAGCTTCTTTTCTGGGCGCCTGGATGGCAGTCTTTTCCCTGTGCCCTCCTGTGGCCATCTCTGTGTGTCTGTGTTCTCATCTCTTCTTCTTACAAGGGCCCCCAGTCATAGTGAATTAGGACTCACTCCAGTGGCCTCATTTTACCACAGTTAACTGTTCAAACGCCTGACCTCTAAATATTGCCACATTCTGAGATACTGGGGTTTAGAATTGCAGCTTAATTTTTGAGGGGTGGAGGAATTTGAGGCCAGTAATTCAGCCTGTAACATCTGTATAATCTCTGTTACTTTTGCATCTTTTTGCTTATGTATTTTCCTTGCCTGTGTGAGAGTGTTCAACTATCCATGTGTATTTTAGTTAGCATGAGGCTGTGCACAGCAGATTTGTTGAGTTGGAGCAGGGCAGACATGATCTCCAAGTAGCTTTTCCATCTGGTGACATGCCTGCAGTAGCCTTTCCTTTTGGGAGAAGATCCTTCCATGAAGTATCTGTGGTCCTTTCTTTCTTAGGACTTCGATTTCTCCAGAGACGATAGGCTATTTATCTGGCCAGGGTAGAGTTGGGCAGGGGTGGGTGACCCACTTGCTGACACAGTGCAATTAGAGCCTGGAGGAGGGCGAGGCCTGGCAACTTTCATCGTGTGACATGCAGGTTGACATGTGATCACCATCCTTGCCTGGCATCCTCTTCTGTTTGGTTCCTTTAGAGACTAAACATGTAATCTCCTGCCTGACAGCAGGGGCCAGTGTGTCTAACTTCTTTATAGTAAGATATGCAGACCCAGCAAGTTCTTAGGGCCCCACCCTCACCCTCGGGGCACCTGAGGCAAAAACCCCTGTAGAACTCAAGTGCTCCAGGCCTCAGATGCCCTGGAACAGTTGAGTTCTACAGGGCTTCTTAGTGAGATTTTATTATTTATTGGTTACCTACTTGCTGTAAGCTTGGTATGGTGCCTTGCTAGGGTTATCCTATGTCAGTTTATCAAAGGTCAAACAGAGTTTTACAGCAATTAGTAAGAAGACCAGGACCTGAACACAATTGGATTTAACCTCAGAAACTGCACTTTCACCAACTACTAAATTCTATATAGTGATCAACTAGCAAACTCACATTTTCCCTGTATGTCTGCATTCCAGGTTTTGTAAAAAGTGTCGATGTATTGAAATGCGCACTTTTAAAAGAAGAGTGGCTATACTAAGCTTAGTACAGAAATGAAGTAAAAGTCACTACTTCTTGGACTCTAAGTGTGATTTAGTATTTATGAATGCTGTTAATCAGATTATCTTCCTCAAGCACCTTTGGGGATTGAACAGTTCCTGAGGTCTTTGTGATGCGGGATGGAGGCCTGAGACTGAACAGTGCCACTAGGTTCCGCCTGTCTTGTACTGAACGTCCTGGGACTGAGGACGGAGCGTCCTGCTGTCGGCCTTGTGCTCAGTAGAGTGCGGAGGCAAACTAGATGGCCGGAAGATGTTGGTGCGCAGGCCAGAGGCAGCTGCTCCACCCGGACTGTGTGTACGGCTTCTTTTTCTAGTCTGGTTCTGAACGTCTAGAATTCTCGGCTTTGGCCAGTTGACACTGTACCTCTTTTCCCCTCTTTTGCAGAATACTTCTGTAACCGGATTGCCAGTTTGCTCAAAAAAGCACAATGTCTCGAGCCCGACAACCCCCTCTTGTGACGGGCATCTCTCCAAATGAAGGAATACCGTGGACAAAGGTCACCATTAGAGGAGAAAACCTGGGGACAGGCCCAACTGACCTGATAGGTAAGAAAGAGGACACCGCAGGGTGCCCAGGTAAACCCATTATTACAGTGGGCGGCAGGACAGGTGTCCTCTCAGAGTAGTGATGGCCAACACAGTCAATATGGTGGGTATGAAACGATCTGAAGAAAAGTGAGGCAATCACTTGGCTTTCAGATTTTGCTGTCAAAAGCCATTATTTTCCTTTTTCAATCAGTGTTTTTGTGTCTTTTGGGTAGATACCTAGGAGTGGGATTGCTGGGTCATAGGGAAGCTCCATGTTTAGCAGTGTGAGGAACCTCCAAACAGTTTTCCATAGTGGTTGTACTAGTTTGCATTCCCACCTGCAGTGCAGGAGAGTTCCTTTTTCTCCATATCCTCGCCAACATTTGTAAAAATAAACTTTTGTAAAAAACAAAAAACAAACAAACAAAAAACATTGTTTTCTCACATCTGGTCTCCATTGTCTGTCACCGAACCCTTCAGAAAGCTTCTTGAAGCAGAGATTTGTCTGCTGTTCCTCAGCTTTGATCTCTCCTGCTGAGGTGGCCAGAACAGCTGGTTCTGTGCATGCACCCCTTAATTTCCCCTCTGCCTTGCAAGCTGTCTGTGTTCTTTCTTCGCACTCGGTGAACTATGCCCAGTCTGTACCTCACGGCTCCTCAGCTCAGCTCCACTCTGCTTCCTGGTGATGTCACGATCACTTGGCTCTTGTTCACCCCACTGATGAGAGCCTGCCTTTAGGACATCCTCCAGGGGTCCTGCCCTTGGACATGTCAGGGGTTCCTGTGGTTAGGGCACCCCCATGCTTGAAAATGCCCAGCTCTGTGCCCTCTTGAGGCTCGAAACTTACATCCAAGAACCTCTTCAAATGAACCCCACCCGTGTCAGTCTCTTTTTTGTGGGGGCTTCTCTAATGTTTATGTATTTAGAGCAAGCGAGACTTGAGTTTTGGGGAGTAGTCTGTGTTTGGGAGGTCAAGGGCATGGAGGATGGAAGCACAAGGACAGGGCACATTTGAAACACAGCAGAAGGGTCAGTTAGAATTTCTTTCCTTTGATCTGAGTGCGGGTCCATACCCTCTTGAGCAAGGATTAGATGGTTTGTATGAGGAAAGGGGACCTAGTATTTAGGACTGAGCGTAACTCCGACTCTCACGAGTACATTTATCTGGGTTCAAGCACACTGTCGACTCATTTCTTACCTTGTGAGGGGCCGGTGGGGAAACCCTAGAGATCGTGAGCTGGATCTGTTTTTCTTGCATAACAGCTGCAGGCAAATAGACTGGCCTTCCACAGAAACCTTTGAAAAGACAAAGCGAACGGGAGCACCATGTCGAATAACTGAGTTTTGCACTTCAGCTGCTTTTTTTCATTAGCGATATTGAAATATATCCCACTTTATGTGGTTTGCTCTCTAGTTTTAAATTCTTAAGTAAATAGGACTTAAATTCATTTTTCCTATGAAGACACCCTTATCTAATTCCTATGTCTTAATTTTTGACAGCACTCATACCAGATTTTTCTGTGTCCAAACTGGAAAATTCCCCAGAACACATGAAAATAGCCCATCCAGATGGAGGCTGTGTCCCACATTGTAACTGGCAGTCATTGTGAGCTCTGCGTAAATTTCAATCTTGCTGTAGCTTCAGGCAGTGCTATTCTTATTTGACTAAGTGTGTATTACTCTTATAAACCTTGCCAGTTCAGCTTTCAACCTGCCTATGAGTTGCCAAGAAACCATTTTTTAAAAAAGCAAACTTAACCTACTAAATAATTTAAGTGTTTTCAACTCAGATGATATCTGCACTAGCCAAGTAAAACACTATAAAAACACTTTATTTGGAATTCTACAAGTAACTTTTAAGAGAAGATGTTATTATGTTTCATGAAGCAGATTTCTTAGCTCTCAGTAATTTAGCAAAAAATGTGCTTAAGAAATAGGCCTTATGATCTTACTTGATTTTCATGACATTTTAAATCGTCTGTTTGAATCTGTGTTTAAATGGATGGTGATTATTCATTTTTGTTAATTTAAAATGCAGATCAGATTACGTCAGAGGGTCCTTGCTAGCAGCTACAGGTAGATGAATAAACTTGTTGGGGTTTTTTTTTTCCCCCACCTTACATCATCATCACACCATTCACGTTTGTTCATCTAAACATAATTAAAGACTGTAGGTGCACATCTGAAATCTACTCCTGTCCCTCAGTTTATCAAGAAAGTTGTTTCCTAGGGACCTTACTTTAGGGTTGACTTTATATTGTCTTGACATTCATTGTTGAGTTACTTTCCTTTCTGAAGTGAGTTAATATTTCAAATCACAAGAATCTTCTGAATATTATAAAGTCTAAAAATATTGAATTCTGTATCTACTAGTAGATAATTCTGTATCTACTGTATCTACTGAATGCTAGCAAAATATCCACCAGGTAGAGAAAACAATTTGACAAAGACATTTCCCATTCATTTGAAAAATCCACTGACTGAACTATGTGTGCATTGAAATTACTTGAGCAAATATGTGTTGACGTGTCTCCTAGTAATTATCTGAGAGATGAAGGGGAGTTCCCAGGGGGCTTTCAATCTCTTAAGTTGTTTAAGTTTTTTGTAACATGGTTTGATTTTCAGGAAATGCATCAAAGACATTCCCATCTTGAAAGAAAAATTTGGAATTGTGAAGCCATTTAAAAATGTGTATTATGTACATTTTAGAACTTAGAACTCAAATTTTAATGCTATGAGAAGAACAAAATTTAATATATGAATAAACAGTTGATATTTTAGGGAAATCCCTAAATTTCATTATTTCAGTAAATGTAAATATTTCTAAAAGGGAGTCATTTTTGTCTCTTTGTGGTCTTACTCAATAGTGCTTTACATTTTAACAAAAGATGGCTTGAGCCCCTTCCTACAGTTTTTCATCCAAATTTGGCATTACTTGAGGCATGCCTGGTAACTGCAGAAAAAAAGAATTGCAATTGTTAAAGTTGACCTCTGAGGCATATAAAAAGTTAAATGATGAGAAAAGTAAGTGTAAAGTAAAGTGACTGTCACGTACATTTTGGTTGAATTTCTCCATAAATATTTATTGCGGTGGTCTCTACCTTGTGGAAACGGACAGAGGGGAGAGGCGAGAGGGCCAGCTGCCTTGTGCGTGCTGGGTGTTCTGTCGGGGTCCCCCTCTTCCTCTGCGTGGCCTTGCAATGACTCCTCCTTAGTGCCTGAGTGGTAATTTGCCCCAGGTGGGGTCTGAGATGCCAGTCCTGGGCTGCCTCTTACCGTGGCAGGTTTACCTGGAGGGCAGAGTCGGGGGGAGTGAGACTTTCACAGGGAACCCCTGGACAGCGGGGGCCGCTAGGTGTGACATGACCGGCCAACTACGGCCCACTACTCAGGCATCTAGGAGTGCCCGAGGACATTTTCTGCATTTACCAGCCTCCAGCTCTGCTTCAAAAAATAAAGTATCTACTTTCCTTCATTCTGTAATACCGTGTATAATTACACATGAGTAAAATTATGTGCAGATTATTTTCAGGAGATGGATGAATGTAGAATGTTTTGAGGGAATGATATTTATATAGTAAAATGCTCTAGAATTTTATATCAACAACTTAGACTTCAAATAATTGCAGTAGTTTCTCTTCTTATACCTGTGAAAGCAACTTAAGGTTCTCAGTTTAAAGAAACTGGTGCAGCCATAATTATTGCAGTCATTCTTTTCTAATTATATTTCTAAACTTAAATATAAGCTAAAAGGTGACTTAAATATTAGAGAAGAAACAGATCAGACATAACCAATAGAGACAGCAATGCATTTGCAAAAGCAACAGAGTATATTCAGTACTAGAAGGAGCTATTGAATAAGGAAATATTTCTAGACTGATTTTTCAGTGCCTGCTGTGAAGGGCCTGGTGATACGAACTGGGGAAGAACTTACCTTTTCACGTCGTGGTCATGTCTGAGGTCTGGTGATTCTTTTGAACTTAATTTTGTATTTGCTTGACTTTTCAGGTTTGACAATTTGTGGACATAATTGTCTCCTGACAGCAGAATGGATGTCTGCAAGTAAGATAGTGTGTCGAGTAGGACAAGCCAAAAATGACAAAGGTGACATCATCGTCACTACCAAGTCAGGTGGCAAAGGAACCTCAACCGTCTCGTTCAAGCTACTCAAACCTGACAAAATAGGTATCGCCTTTCATGAATTTATTTTCAAGAGGAAAATAGGATTGGGTGTTGTCTTTTAAAATTTAAAACTGGTAAACTGGTACAAAATGTCTCCCCTCTCTTATTTTACTAACTTAGAGTCAGTTTTGTTCATTTGGACAGTAATGGACTGTTGGTGAACACTTGCCAGGACTTTTCAAACGGCGGTTTGCTACCTCACAGTGAACCAGGAGATGACTGGCATTCTAAATTGCCTACAAAATCTGTCCCTCTCACCCATCGACACGCCAAGTCTAACTCCTCAATCTTGAACCTGATAATGGAACTTATTTCTGTTGCACAGTTAAGATTTGAGGTGAAATAGCCGCCTGATTGGCCACATGTGTAATAATAAACTGTTCACTCCCTCTTCATTTTCTTTAGATGAAATGTTGCCTGGCCAGGACGCAACTTGCAACCAGAAATTACTGTCCTTCTCTACGCTCAGTTACTTTGTAAATGCACTTAAGACTTGCTTCCTCCTGTCAGAAGTAGTTAAAATCTTGGTCTAGAGGTTAAGACTCTGAATACTAATCTGGGCTTCAGCACCTTTAGCATTGTAACTTCACTGCCAGTGTCGTCCTGGGTAAAACAGAATCAGTGTCCTGCCTACCTCAGACTATTAAATGATGTTGGAGGTGTGTGTCACAGTCACAGCCCCTCCTGCGGGGTCAGTGCGCCATAAGCTCAGTGTGCCTCGTTGTTTTCTCATAGATGTTTCTGTGCATGGCTCCTCCTCACAAAACAAGCATAGTATCATATTCAACTTTGAGATTTTATATTATCTTGAACCATAACTCTGTAAATGTTTGCATAATGTAGGAGTCTCACAGGTATAATTAGATCGAGGCCACACTTCTCTCTCATATTGACACATAAATCATACATATTGTCTTTGTTTTTAAATCTTAGAGCATTAACTGTTTCTGCAGCATTACATCCTTAAATTCCTAGACTTTCATTTTCTATAAATGAAAATTTAAGGAGAAATTCAAAATGGCATGTATGTACATGTATACTAGTACAAATCTGATATCCCTGTTGATGTCCACTCATGTCTTTAAAATTTTTACCATATGATTAAAGCAAAAAGTTATCAGTTTTCCGGAAGAACTGAAATCCTTTTTGACAGATTCTAGTACCATCTTATCTCATATTTGCATAGCAAATAAAGTTACTTGAAAGTATTAATTTTGTTTAAAAATCCCTGCTCAGGACCTAGCACACTGACGCTAAACACGGGCCTCTTCATTTAGACTCAGGCCAAGCAGACTTGAGCATAACTTCTGACAGAGCCTCTGATTGGCCCTGACAGATGAAGGGCCTGACAGCAGTTATCGGCTTGCAGAGGTCAAAGGTTGCTCAGGGCGAAGCTGCCTGGGATGAATACCCTTTCTTTATGAGTCCTTGCTGGCCCCAGCCCCGGCCCTTCTCTCTGCACGAGGGCACTTTGTGGGTCTCCTTCGCAGAGGGCTCTGGAGCGGGTGAGCTGGTCGGCCCAGGGCCAGCGGTGAGTGATGTGGTACTTAATCACCTTGAAGAGAGGACTTTTCCAGAAACGACATTTGATTCACACATCCGCGTTGTCACTATTCCTGAATATCCTAGTCATGTCCACTTCTAAAGCCGGGGCATTTCTTGTGAGGTGTTTGAATGCTTTATAGGAGGAATTGCTGAATTCACCAAATGAATTAGAAGTTTATTATTTGGAAAAATCCCTTTGTCTTCACAGGAGTTTTTCTTAGCGGCTTTGTTTGCCTTCCCTGTCACATAATGTACCATGAAGCCATGAACAGAGGTGTGAATGTTGTCTCTTAAGGAGCCCTAGCATTTTTAGCTAAGCCCCCAGCCATTTAGGAGGGCGTGTGGAACTTTGTTCCCTCAGATATCATAGAACTTGCCGTAGCACGCATCCCGCGGGCCCTTCAGCAGCACAGCAGCGTGTCAAGGCTGAGTGCCGGGGGTTCTGCGTCTTGCTAAGGCTGTGCCCTCGCTTTGGCAGGTATTCTGGATCAATCTGCAGTGTGGGTTGATGAAATGAACTACTATGACATGCGCACCGTCAGGAACAAAGGCATCTCGCCCTTGTCCCTCCGCCCGGCGAATCCCCTTGGCATCGACATAGAAAAGTGAGTACCTCTTGTCCTCGGTTTTCTTTATTTTTAGTGATGGAAAGTCTCAGAGCACCAAACTCCAGGAACATCGGGGGAGACACAGTGAAGACTTGGCAGATAGCTGAGAGACAAGCGCCTCTGGGGCCTTTGAACCCTGCCATGGGCGAACATTCCAGTTAGTTCACACTGGGGGCAGATGCTGGCTTAGCTCCTTTGTTTCTTTGGGTTTACATTTTGTGAGTAAGAAAAGTGTCTTGAAACTTGTTAAGAACTGATACTTTCAATGGTCTGAGAATTAATACATTCTCTGGAGTTGGTCAGTTTAAATATTTAGATGGTACTTGACATCAGAAGAGAATTTTCCATGTGCTGGATTTTTGTGGAAATACTTCAGAGTAGTGTCATCTTTGCTGCCTGTAATTCACATGAGCCCAGACGTGCCTGCTATCCTAGAACCGTGGCAGGTGAATGGCATTTTTCAAGATGTCTTATAGCCAGCCCAGAATTTTCTTTTCTCAGTGTCTAATATGTGTTTCAGTAGCGTTCACAGTTAGTACCTTTACCCTAAATATTACCCAAGAAGTCCTCTGACACATTAGTTGTGTCCACTTTCTCTTCTGGCCTTATTGAGTCTGCTGGTGAAACTCCCTGCCAAATGTTGCTCCAGAAACATTTACTGAAGGTGACAAATCAGTTCTTTTAAAATGTTAGCCATACCTTGAATTTTAGGTTTTTCTAGGGGCAGGAAAAAAAATCTCTGATCTTTATATATTTAATCTTCAGTCCTTCACTTGGAGACCATTAAGAATACAGATAGCAAGCTCCTTTTTCTTCTGCTTGTCTGTACCACAGGTGCAGAAAGAGGGAGGCGCTCGTTTTTACCTTGTGGGGGATTGTACAAATGGCCTGGGGCCTTGCCCTTTCGGGGAGCTTGGTAACCTAGGTCGCAGCTTTGGACAGCTGGGCAGCACAGGTCATCCTGGAGTTGATTTAGGGATTTCAGTGTCCTACAAACGAAGAACTGAAGGTAAAGAAAGTCCGAAAAAGAATGCTAGATGTTAGACTCTTGGAGCAGTCAAGCAAGAACAAACTTTGCAGTGGGAGAGCAAACCTTTGAACAGCCTGCTTGCATGGCCTCCCGTTACAGACGTGGTGAGCAGGGGGTCCCTGTGACCCTCCGTTCACAAGGGTTGTACAGTTGTATATGTGGGCTCTAGGAGCGAGGGATACTCTTGAGTTTTCTATGACCTTTAGATATAGTGGTCAAAGTTGGAGTAACACGAACATTGACTATCATAAATTTTCTTGATTTTTAGCTGGGCACGTAGTCCATTTTTGATCCCTTTACTTTCTCATATCCTCTCACCCTGGGGTTGGCTCCTGTTATTGTCACCGCCTAAAGGGAGTGGGTGGGCTGGGCTTTGTGTTTATACCTTCCAGCGCTACCCTGTGGTAGCACTGGTGACAGAAGCCAGGGAAATTGCCCTAAAAATACTTGACACTTTAAAATTTTGTTGTCTGTCTTCTCTGTAAGGTTATCTGATTTAGTCTGGAGCCAGACTCTCAGTTCAAATTATGACTCTGGTACTTATTAACAGTGTGCTCTTGGGCGAATGAGTTAACTTCTCTTTGTCCACATTTCCTTAGGCATAAAGTGGAGTACCTGGGTTACAGGATGGCTTTATAGATTCAGTGCTGGTAAATATTTAAAATAGAACACTGCCTCCTTCAGAGAAAGTCTTTCACAAGTATTAGTCATAGTTACTATGAATCTTTGATCTTCTTGCTTATATATGACTCAGTGCTCAGCCACTTAGGAAAAGAATCTTTTTAACGACTTAGGGTTTTAGGATAATTATATTGTAAAAAGCATTATGTACATTAATTCAAGAAGTGCTTAAATAAGGATAAAATTAACAACATGAATAAGTATATCAAATCAAGGTCTGTTTATACGTTCCCTAAAAGACACTCACATCAGATATGACACATACAGACTGAAAATGATGCAAGCGAAAAAGATGGCCTATGTAGATGGACACTGAGAGAAAAATGGGATAGCTGTACTTACTGCAGACAAAGTGGACTTTAAAACAAAGCTCATCATCACACAAAAATAAGCATGTTACACAATGATAACGGGGTCGATCCAGTGAGAGTATGTGACATTTGTAATTATTTACGCACCTAACATATCAGGAACACCTAAATATATAAAGTGAATATTCACAAACCTAAAGGGAGACAATACAGCAATACAGGAGTATTGGGGGGGGGCTTCAGTACCACAACACATCAGTGGATAGATGGGACACCCATGGAAAGTCAGTAAAAAAAACCTTGACCTTAAGTGACATACTAGTTTATTGGACTTACCCAGAGAAACACAGAACATTTCATCCCAAAACTGCAGAATATACATTGTTCTTAAGAGCACAGTGAATATTCTACAGGATGGCTTTTATGTCAGGCCACAAGGAAAGTCTTAATACATGTAGAAGACTGATAACCTCTCAAGCCCTTTTTCTAGTCACCTGGTATGAATTTAAACAAGTAGGTGAAAGACAGGCCCAGAAAAATGCACAGCAACTGAACTAAGATTTGAAAACTGTTGGATATTGATGAAAGAAATCGAAGAAGATGTAAATAAATGGAAAGACACTCTATATTCTTATATCGGAAGAATTAATATGTTAAATTACCCATACTCTGTAAGACAGTCTGTGGATTCAGTATAATCCCTATCAAAATTCCAAAGGCATCTGTCACAGAAGTAGAACAAATAATCCTAAAATTTGTGTGGAACCACAAAGACCCCAAAAAGGCAAAACAGTATTGAGAAGAACAAAGCTATAGTAACCAAAAGTGTGTGGTGTTGGCATCAAAACACAGGGATCAATGGAATAGAACTGAGAGCCCAGAAATAAGCTCACACGTGTGGTGAATTAATTTACAACAAAGCGGCCAAGAATACGCAACGGGGAAGTGAGTCTCTACAATAAATGGGGTTGAGACAATTGACCGTCACTTGCCGAAGAGTGAAACTGTACCGCTGTGTTACGCCAAAATTAAGGCAGATGGGTTAAAGATGTTCAGACTAACGTATAAAACTTCTAGAAGAAAATGGGTAATGATTTTGTGGATTTGACAAGCAAAAGGCAACAAAGACCATGTATAAGCGATGGGACTATGTCAAGGTAAAAGACTTCTGCACAGCAAAGGAAATCATCAGCAAAATGAAAAAGCAACCTACTGAGTGGGACAAATTATCTGCAAGTCATGGGCCTGATGAGGGAACCATCTATATCTAAAGAATTCATACTACTCAGTGGCGAAAAAATGATAAAAAGCAATTAAAAATTGAATAGAGGATCTGAGTAGAGACTTTACCAGAGATGGCCAACAGATAATTGAGAAAGGTGCTCACCCTCACGAATAATCAGGGAAATGTAAATCTAAACCACAGTGAGTTACATCTCATTCCTATCAGAATAGTAATTGTGCAGATTGAGGATATGGAACAAAAGGAAACCTTTGTGCCATGTTGGTAGGGAAGTAAATTGGTGCAGCCATTACATTAAATAATATAGACATTTCCTAAAAAGTTAAAAATAGAAATGCCATATGATCCAGCAGCTCCACATGTGGGTATTCATCCTCAGGAAACGAAAATGCTCTTTCAAAAAGAAATGTACCTCCATTTTCACTGCAATGCTATTTACAATACCCAGCATAGGAAACAGTTGAAGTGTCCATCGATGGGTGATGCACACAGGCACCACAATCTGAAATGCCATGCTGCCGTAAGAATGGATGAAATCTTTCCATTGGCAGCAACATGGATGTCATATGCTAAGTGAAATAGGTTGGGCAGAGAAAGACAAATATCTTGTCTCGTGGAATTTTAAAAACAAAGAAAGAAAAGTTATAGATACACACAAAACGGATGGTTGTCAGAGATGGAGCTTGGGGGTGGGTGAAGTTTTTGAAGGAGTTGAGAAAGAATGAATTCGCAGTTGTAATGTAAGTCAGTCCTAGGATGCAACATCTAGCATGGTAAGTATGATTAGATCACATGTTTGAAAGCGCTGTGAGTGTAGACATTAATAATTCGCATAATGAAAAAGCAACCCTTTTTGGTAACTATGTCAGATGTTGGATATTAACTCAATTTATCAGGGTAATCGTTTTACAGTACGCACAAAGGTCAAGCAAGTCGTGTGAATATCTGAATAAAAATAATAAAAAAACTAAATGTCAATTCAACTCTTGATTCCTTCGCTATGGGTAGACAGAGCAGTCCACAGTCAGGGAGTCAGTGACCCGCAGGTAGGAGTGGAGTAACCCCTTTGTATCGGTTCTTCATGTGTTATCTTGGCAGATCTTATCACTTTGTAGTAGGTGATGTAATCTCTGATTACGTTAATACCTTAAAAAAGAGTTCAGGGCAATAAATTGTGTTCCTATCTTAAAATGGTACATGTACGTTAATTAAAGCAATGTTTAAATGAAGATAAAATGAACAATGTTATTTCTTCTAAGCCCTTAAGTTTCAGTAATACTTGTTCAGTCAGGGCATGACAGAAGGATCGTGTTTGAAAATCCTAAGCCTCATACAAATGCATACTAAACGTTTACACAGAAGTTTGATTTAATTCAATTAATGGAAGAACCTGTAAAATGTTAAAACCGATTCAGAAGTAGTTCCAGAGGACACACGAGCCGGCCTGGCATGCTGAAGGCTCCGCAGCTGGCTCCTTCCACTGCCTGGGAAGCAGCAGGGTCCCGATCTGCTAGCCCTTTCCCTGGCCAGGTCCTGCCCAGCCCCAGGCTCCCACTCACCGTCACTAACTTCTGTTTCTAGAACAGAGCTGCAAAACAGAGACAAAAAAAAAAAAGCAGAGATCCAGCAGTTATTCCAGTCAAAGAAGTGATATAACAGGAAGCAAGAAAATAAAAGATTAGGTGTAGAAATCAAGAGAAGAAAGTGCTTTTGGTCAAAAAGTGGTGTTTTC